GACATTTGTGCTAAAGTCTCAACATTCGAAATTCTATGTACTTCGGTAGTACTGTACCAGGGAGGCAACTTCAAAATCATCTTCAGAACTTTGTTCTGAATCCTTTGAAGTGCTTTTTTCCTGGTAGTGCAACAACTAGACCATATTGGCACAGCGTAAAGCATGGCCGGTCTAAAAACTTGTTTAAATATTAGAAGTTTATTCGTCAGGCAAAGTTTGGATTTCCTGTTTATAAGAGGATACAAACATTTAATATATTTGTTACATTTGGCTTGAATGCCCTCAATGTGATCTTTAAAAGTTAATTTTTGGTCAAGTATTAATCCAAGATATTTCACTTGGTTTGACCAGGAAATTGGAACTCCGTTCATAGTAACTATGTGACTACTACTAGGTTTCAAAAAGGAAGCTCTAGGCTTATGTGGAAATATTATAAGTTGAGTTTTGGAAGCGTTGGGAGAAATCTTCCATTTTTGTAAATAAGAAGAGAAAATATCTAAACTTTTCTGCAGTCTGCTGCAAATAACACGAAGACTTCTTCCTTTAGCGGAAATGCCTGTGTCATCAGCGAACAAAGATTTGTGGCAACCCTGAGGCAAATCAGGGAGGTCCGAAGTGAAAATGTTATACAATATAGGCCCAAGAATGCTACCCTGAGGAACTCCTGCCCTAACAGGAAGTCGATTAGATTTGGAATTTTGATAAATTACTTGAAGAGTTCTGTCAGTTAAATAATTTTGAACTAATTTCATAATATAAAGTGGAAAATTAAACTTTTTCAATTTAGCAATCAAACCTTCATGCCAAACACTGTCGAATGCTTTTTCTATGTCTAGAAGAGCAACTCCAGTTGAGTGGCCTTCAGATTTGTTTGAACGAATTAAATTGGTAACTCTCAAGAGTTGATGAGTAGTTGAATGCCCATGGCGAAATCCAAACTGCTCATCTGCAAAAATTGAGTTCGTATTGATGTGAAGCATCATTCTATTCAAAATTATCTTTTCAAAAAGTTTACTTATTGAAGAAAGCAAACTTATTGGACGGTAGCTAGAAGCTTCAGCTGGATTTTTATCCGGCTTCAAAATTGGAACAACTTTTGCATTTTTCCATTTATCAGGAAAGTATGCCAAATGGAAACATCTGTTAAATAATTTTACCAAGAAAGACAAGGTACTCTCTGGGAGTTTTTTGATGAGGATATAGAAAATTCCATCATCACCTGGAGCTTTCATATTTTGAAAATTTTTAGTTATAGACCTTACTTCGTCCAAATCAGTCCCCCAGGAATCATCAAAAATATTTTCCCGAGAGAAAATATTCAGAAAATCCCGAGCAACCTGATTCTCAATAGGACTAGTAAGACCCAAACTGAAATTATGGGAACTCTCGAATTGCTTAGCAAGTTTCTGAGCTTTTTCCAAATTTGTGATCAAAATTTTACCACCTTCCTTAAGCGCTGGAATAGGCTTTTGAGGTTTTTTCAAAATTTTTGTGAGTTTCCAAAAGGGTTTGGAACTCGGGTCTAATTTAGAAATATTATTTTCAAAAGTTTTGTTCCTCAGGGCAGAGAATCGCTTTTTAATTTGTTTTTGCAAATCCCGCCAGATAACTTTCATGGCAGGATCGCGTGTTCTTTGATATTGTCTCCTACGGACATTTTTAAGACGGATCAAGAGCTGAAGATCATCGTCTATTATAATTGAATCGAATTTAACCTCGCATTTTGGTACTGAGGCAGCTCTTGCTTCAACTATAGAAGTAGTCAGAGATTCAAGAGCATAATTAATTTCATCTTTGGTTTGCAAAGGAATGTTTGGATCGAAGTTATATTCCATAAATGTTCGATACTGCTCCCAATCAGCTCTATGGTAATTGAAAGTAGAGCTGTTGGGATTACAAATTATTTCTTGGGATATTTCAAAAGTTACTGGAAGGTGATCAGAACCGAAGTCAGCATGGGTAACCAATTGGCTACAAAGTTGACATGAATCAGTTAAGACCAAATCAATAGTGGAGGGATTTCTTGCAGAAGAAAAGCATGTTGGGCTGTTTGGATATTGAATAGTGTAATAACCTGCAGAACAATCATCAAACAGAATATTACCATTGGAATTGCTTTGAGCATTATTCCATGAGCGGTGTTTTGCATTAAAATCACCAATAATGAAGAATTTAGACCTATGACGGGTAAGTTTCTGAAGGTCACCCTTGAGAAAATTCTTTTGCTGGCCTACGCATTGGAATGGCAAATAGGCAGCTATAAACGTAAGTTGTCCAAATTTTGTTTCAACAGAAACCCCCAAAGTTTCAAAAACTTTGGTTTCAAATGAAGAAAGAATTTTATGTTTGATTCGTCTATGAATAATGATGGCAACGCCACCACAGGGTCCATCAAGACGATCATTTCTATAAATCAAGTAGTTTGCGTCCTTCTTAACCTTATGGGCAGGTTTAAGGAACGTTTCAGTTATAACGGCAATATGCACGTTATGAACTCTTAAAAAGTTAAATAGCTCGTCTTCATTATCTTTAAGAGATCGAGCATTCCAATTTACAATATTTAATGCTTTAAAATCCATTACTGAATTTTAAAGTCATGACAATATTATTTGCAAATTTTACTCCAGTTTGAATAGCATCAAACATGGAGTTAGATTTAAGCATATCAGAAATCATGTCAATTAATGAATTCTGTAAAAATTCCATTTTGGGGGCAGTAATGCTTCCTAAGTCAAAATTGTCAAAATTTCCATTAGAACGTTGGTTAGTATTTTGATTTCTACCCGCTGCAATAGCAGCATAGGTAGCTCCATTAACTCGCTGAACATTGTTAGCAGCGAGGGGAGTAGGTACAGATGAAACATTTGAAGCAGGGGAGATATTTGTACCTACGGGTACGAATGTAGAATTTGTTCCTCGCTGACCGTTGTTAACAGCAGAGGAATTTGTACCTGGTCGGAAACGTGGAGCGTTTCCTACCTGACGGTTAGAACGAGATTGTAGGATCGCTTTGCGAGTCTTACATTCCCAAAAATTGGATTTGTGGTTTTCACCACAATTTGAACATTTAAATTTCTTAGGATCTTCCTTCACAGGACAGTCGTCCTTTGCGTGAGAGGAATCACCACAATTCATGCATTTAGCTGGCATGTAGCAATTTTTAGTTCCGTGACCCCATCCCTGGCACTTACGGCACTGGGTGAGGTTTTGAAAATTTCCTCCAGTCTTCCTGAAGTGTTCCCACTTCACTCGGACATGGAGCATAAGGCTAGCTTTTTCTAAGGCCTTAAGGTTGTTTAGTTCACTAGACTTGAAGTGAACTAAATAAAAATCATTAGAAATCCCGTTGCGCGAATCGCCAGGACGGGATTTCATTTTCATTTTGATTACTTGGAGTGGCACAACTCCAAGTAATTTTGCCAGTTCATCTTTGATCTGATCCAGGGATTCACCACTGGGCAGTCCTTTCATGACAACCTTGAACACACGTTCAGTTTTGGTGTCGTAAGTAAAAAATTTGTGCTTCTTCTCAGTAAGATACTTGAGAAGACATTTAAATCCGTCCAAGGTTTCAGCCAATACACGGCATTCACCCCGACGTCCAATTTGTAGTGAAAACTTAACTTTCACGAAATTCAAAAGTTCCATGCGAAGAGCATGGAAATCGGTAGTGGTTATCACAATAGGGGGAATCTTTTCCTTCTTGGCATTAAGCCGGGAAAGTTTACTAGAATTTTTCTTGGATGATGGATCATTCTCATCATCCGTGAGCAAATCAAATTGATTACTCAAATTAATTTCATCAGAAGGGGGGTCAAGAGTTTGCCCCTTTCTTTTGCGTTTAGGCGCCATGGCGGCAGTAAATTTTTATCCAAATCGACTTCCAAGCAGATTACTATAAGAATCTGAAGGATCGAAGAGGAATTTTCCAAATCGATATCCAAGAAGGATTACCTCGGGTAGGGTCCAAACAAGGATCGAAGAGGAATAAGAGTTTAACAAGGTAGAAAATTTTTACAGGTTGAGCACTGAAAAGTGCTGTTAAAATTTGTTGTAGCTTTAGGTAGTAGTAACACTTCCTTCAGCAAAAAGCAAATAGATCCGCACGGCAAGAGAGCACGATGCGGACTGAGATACTCGTATTTCGTCTACTACTTGCAGTACTCAAGTACTCAACACCACTGAAGAATCCATCTTTTATCTACGAGTTATATACTATTCAATAGGTGCTAAAAATCAGCAGGTATCCACTGCCATGTCACAATTCACCTAAACTGGTACCTAAATTTAGTCTCCAACAGGTAGATTCATGCTACAATGTGTGGTTTTAGATAGCATGCTAAAGAGTCTCGAGTATCCGTTTCCTTGATCTCTTTTGAGCAATCGGCAATCGAATGTGCAAGAAGGCAGCTTCTTCCACACCTGCGTAGGATATCGCACACATTCAAACACATATTGGGCCGGGTACAACGGCTTTACTTCCCTTCCGAAGGAAGGCGTGATCATAGATGTTATGTCTCAGAACATCCAGGCGGCGCCGACTGGGATTGAACGCAGGCCTGCTGGTGTGAGAGGCAATCACGCTTACCACCAAACCACCGGCTCCGCTCTGTTAAGCAATGTTGATGGATTATGTTTAAATATTTCTTAACTTTCTGCAACGTCTAGCTTCCAAGGCAAAGATACATTCCGCAGGATATTAATCTTATCCTTTGTCAAATTGTGCCCCTTTGTAAAGATATGTTCTGCAACCTTGGATTTAAATTCATAATAAAGTCCTTTATCCATCTCTTTGTTAGCCTTTTTTACCTCTGCAATGTGCTCCTTAAACCTTGTTTTCAAATTCCTTTTCGTCTGACCAATGTAGATTTTATTGCAATCTGGACAAGAGATTTTGTGACTCCGGCTTTCCCTAAGACGTTTATTGAATCTTTTGTTGATCCTAACAGTAACTTCAGCTGATTTGTCCTGCTGCTGAATACTAAATCTAGGCCAAAACTTCTAAACTTCGAAATCAATGGTTTGGTAATGTTTTTGTCGAAATTCACCGCTACCCGTTTTAAACCCTCAGCTACTGGTGTAAGAGTTGTCGAAATACGCCTGAAATGATCCCTTGCTCTTTTATCGATTACTGCTTGAATTGTTTTTTTCTTGATACCCATTAAGTCTAGCGATTTCAAAAATATGAGCTATTTCCTTTGATTTGCCTGTATCGCTAAGAGGAAGAGTTTGCATCCTGTAATCCATGTGGTAAAAAGCGGCATTTTGTATTGATGAGAATGGTTTGAAGTGCTTGGTATTACTCTCTTTGTATTTGTTGGTTTTCTATAGATTTCGAAATTGAACGAAGACGTTTCCCTGATGATAAGAAGATCTAAGAAGGGGAGTTTGCCGTCTATCTTCTTCGTGAGTAAATGTGATGTCCTTGTAAACGTTGCTTATGGCCTCCAAAGTTTTTGATAAATCTTCCCCTTTGACAATGCTAAAAATGTCATCCACGTACCTATACCAACTCCTGGGCAACAAATTCCTATCCTCCAGAGTATTTTCTAGGTTAGCCATGAACAATTCACATAAAAATGGAGAAAGCGGATTGCCCATAGGAGCGCTTTTAGTTTGTTTATAAAAAATTTCTCTGAAAATGAAATAATTTTCCTCCATACAAAGACGAGTAAACTTGAGATATGACCGAACTTAGTATTTCCAAGTAGAATCCTCACGTTGCTTCAGAAGCCAGTCCTCTAAAATGCTTATGGCTTCCTTTACTGGTACACTCGGAAAAAAGTGCTGTGACATCAAATGAAACCATGACTTCATCTTCCCGAATCTCTCCTGATGCCTGAAGTTGTTTTTCGAATTCCTGTGTGCTGTTAACTGACCCGAGCAAAGTAAAATATCAAATTGATAACAAGTTCCATTACCCGGTTATCACTTTTTGATAACTGAATATGTTATAATTCTGGTTGAATTAACAGCCAACATAACAAAAATGATAACAAAAAATTGCTCGTTGAATATCACAAAAATAACTAATTTTGTTATCATTGATAATATCTTGATAACAAATTCTGTATGCCATACAAATTTATTCCATAAATTTCAAATCATGTTATCATTTTGATATCAAAGCCTTACGCTGATAACTGAAATATGATTAGGGATTAGAAGTACTATTTTTTATTGTTTCAATGCGAATAATATTTAAAGTTTTGAACTAACCTTGCATCGTTAATAAATATATAGTGAATTTTTCATGATAACAACTGATAACAAAATTGATCAAGACTGACAATTAAATAAGTGATGCGATAACAACTGAAAACAAAATGATATCTGGGATAACAAGACTTGTTATCTATATGATATCGGGTTGTTATTCTACTTTGCAAGGGGAGCGAGTGGTAAAGGGTTTAGGCATATTTTGAAATTCCTTTACTAGCCATTTGGCAAGCTTATGAGTGGGGGGTCCTTCAGCCGAGATAATCCCCCTCATTTCGTTTCCTGATTTATGAATCTTTGGTAAACCTTTGATCCTAGGTATAATAGGGTTCGAAACTTTCAATTGATACGTAGTGTTGCCAATAAACGCCTTGCACTCTTTATAACTGAATTTAAAGGAAATAAACCAACACACTCAAAGCTCTTCATAAATAAAATTTAATCCATGTGATGAATTTTACTCCGTCTATAAATAACCTTGAGTTCAGCGAATTTGTGTGAAAGGAAATCAAATTTGAGTTGAATTCTGCGACCATGTAATTATCGAAACGTAAAATGTATGAAACTATAGCAGGAATCGAATTTTCTTCCATCTCTACAAATATTTTTCCCCTCTATCTACTAGGTACTTTGCACCACCGGTAGCGTAGAAACCATTCAGTCAACCGTAAATCGGAAACAAAAACTAACTTTGAAGAAAAGTGAACAAAAGCGAAAAAAAGCGCCAACTTAAATGGACAAAAATTTATTCAAGTCCGTTCCTGTTATTGAAATTCCCCAACGTCCGACGGTCATGTTCAACAAAAAATAACTTCCTAGCCCTTCCCTCAAACTACCTATTCCATTGTATAGCATTTTTTCTCCAACAGATCGACGATTCTAGATAGCAAAAATCAAAAACATCGCCGAAAAAAAAAAATAGTGGTCCGAACAAGAATCACATCTCAAAGATGAAAGTTCCGCCTCTTCCTACCAGTTGTACCACCCACTCGGAACGAATTCGAAAGCCGAGCATTTTTGAGTGGTTGATTTCAATATGAACCGAAATTTGTTCTCGATTCTCCGAGTGAAACGGAACCGATGAACAGCATGAAAGTAAAAAAAAAAACTTTTCTCGAGCTGGATGCCGACGTTGCTTCCGACTTTGATGTGGCTTGGAGAGAAATTGTTCGTTCCGATGTTGACGCTTCTGCGGAAGTGCGGTCCGGGCCAGCCGGTCCGGTAGATGTTTTCACATGTCTTCTATGGTTCCTTTCCATACCACGAACGAATCGAGCTCCGCATATGATGGGATCGAGAGATGGAACTAAAAGAAGGCTGCCCCTCGGGGGAATTGGCTAAAAGCATTTCGTATCGTTGGAGTTTACGAATGAAGGCTGACGGAACAGGCAGGCCCGGAGCAGAAGGATATAAATGACTGGATGAAAGCTTTACGGTTCCGGTGAGGATTGGACGAATAAAATTTTAAAATTGTTTCCATCGAAACGGCACGAGACGTATACACTTCAGCTACCGATGCACACGTATCAGTTTTGATGGCTAACGTAGAATTTTATTGCAGTTAATTTTGACTCTCGATATTGTTACATAACGCATACTGAATTAAGTTTGTATCGACTGTTGATTGTCTTATTGACTTTTGTTCCATATTTTATTTATCCTAAATTTTGCATTAGGAAATGTTTGTCGTTGGAGAAATTTTAATGTTAATGGTTAGTTAATAATGTTGAGTCAAACTATTTTCTACTTTTTGAAAACGATAACAGTAGGTTAGAACATGTGTTTTAGGGTAGCATCATGTCTTCGGTAACATAGTGGTAGAGCGCCCGTCTAGCGAATGCGGAGGCGTGGGTTTGATTCCCACATGCGTAGGCAGTGGATTTTTTTCACTATTTTCGTCACATATCTCACCATCCCCTACACTACTCTTAAAACGTTTACAATCGTTTTGAGAAAGTTAAAATAACTGTTCATTCAAATGTATTTTGGAACATTTCGGAGCACAAAGAGCACCTATAACGAGTTATGTAATCAATTTCACACACCAGAGGAAATAGAGTGTGGATTTAGACTTGGAAACCTATGTAAAACGTGAAATCGTGTTTATGGTACACATTTGTAAGGATGTTTAATTAACATGCAATTAATGGAAAGCAACCGTTATGTTTTGGTTTTCAAAGTCTAGTTTTATTATTTTGATTGTTGCACAATTTTTTTTTTATTGGTTATCATGCTGGAGCTGCGTGACAGCTTACACAGCAAAAAAATAATTTTGATATCACGTCAAAGTGGATGCACTACAATCATGTTGAAAATATGGTGTAATATTACTTGCTAAAAAGGACAAAAATATCATTAATACAATGCATGAACTGACATCACGCTGCTTTTACTACATTTGTTTATTTATGTGGTCATAAAAATTACATGAAATTTTCGACATGATTGTAGTGCATCCACTTTGATGTGATATCAAAATTATTTTTTTGCTGTGTAGTTTTCAAGACTTGACCCATTTGAACAAATTTTGCTTCTATATTTGACAATACAGCAGAAGGACCAGTGTTCGGAAAAACTCAAAAACTCAAATCTCATGCATGAGTTTATGCGCCTATGAGTTTTACCTTGCAAAATTCAACGTCGCAAAAATCACCGATTAGTTTTCAGGTTCAAAAATTCATTGCTTTACATTTTGGCGTTATTCATTGTTATTACTATTGATTGTGCATCAGGGGTTGGAAAACTAACACAACATG